TGTGGAAGAGGGGCTGCAACCTGGTATGCTACAGGTACAGGTACAGATGACCGGATGCAGGCAGGGCCTGGTCTGCATATATGCCGAGGATTGGGGCTAGCAGGGCAGTCTCTCCTTGGCTGCCACCAGGGAAGGAACTCCTGCCCAGGGGGCCCCGGGATGCTGGGTTAGCGAGGGTTTATACTCTTGCAGGGGTAGAAGGCTGCTACATGTTGGTATTTATGTTATAGCCCAGGGGCTTGTGTTTATATTGTGTTTACCGGTGGTTTTCAAATGAAGCTATAGGAAAGGTGGAGGCCTCATTAGTATCCAGGGTGGCATCTGACTGCCTTGATCCCTGCCAGGGAGAAGATCAGGGCTTGAAGGCTTAGTGAGCCACAGAGAGGCCCAGTGCCTGAGAGGGGCGCAGCCACAGAGGGGCCATGGGCTTAGTGCCTAAAAGGGACAAAGGAAGCTAGTGCCTCAGAGCCAAGTCCTATTCAGTAGGCCTAGGCTAGTAGGCCTAGCTAAATTAAAGAACCAGAGGCTGAGGCCCCAACAAAGGGACAATATACCGATACCACACTCCATACCTTGCAGGTGTTAAAGGGGCGGTTTGGAGCCACCCAATTAGCCCATAAGGCTTTGAGTGCCCTACTGGGCACAGTTGATTGCAGAGGCCTAGCCAGGGGCCTAAGAGTATAGAGGCCCAGCCAGGGATCTGGGGCCAGTACAACTGGGGCCAAGCAATGGTCCATGGGCAGCCTCCCTTTATATTAATTTATAATCCATCAAGGCATGGCAGGCGAGATAGGGGGAGCACCTAGGGGTGGAGCAATGCATGGTTATGGAGTCACCACAGGGTGTCATTGCCACCCCTGGGGCCCCAACCTGTTACAATGACCCTATAGTCCATACAGAGGACTGAGACTGGGTGCCAGTTCCTCAGATCATGGGATGCCCCCTTTTTGGGCAGCAGGGTCAGAACGGCCCTTCTGCATGACAGGGGGAGGTCCCCATCCCCTTTGAGGTCCAGGCTAAGGACATCCTAGAAAGGGCGATAGAACTCCACAGTCAGTCGCTTGATAACCAGTGCTTTTTTGGTGGGCATCAGTTGGAGGGCATTCAAAAGCTCGGCCAGGGTGCGAGGACCTGATTCTATGACCTATGAGCCGGTCCCGGTCATCCATACTGACCTGTGGCAGTCTCACTCACAGGACCTGGCCAGTGTCAGCATTAGTTGGATGCAACTAGCAGAGCTGTGCATAGAAAGCCCTTGCCCTTTCTCACAGTTTTCTGGGGTGTGTGATGGGAGTGCCATCCTCCACCAGGAGGCAAGCAGTGTACTTCTTGGCACCCCTCCTTTTCTGTAGGGCATAGAATCTGCCAAAGGAGCTGGATGCACAAGTAGATGAATGCACTGCAGGCGTGGTAGTTGTCCAGAGCTCCAAGCTCCTCCTACCTCTCCTGACACACTTTGCAGAGGGACAAGTTGCGCAGTCGTGCAGGCATGCCTGGCAACACGGCATGTGCATGCCTGCGCGACCGCACACACAACACAGCTTAGAGGGAACGCTGATGAATTGTCTGTGTCGGGGAACAGGTGCCTCTCCAGCTCCAGCACTTGCCTCTCAACCTGCTCTCTAGCCACCTCTCACTGTCAGGTGTGCCCCCAGATATAGTGGTGACAGTACTGCCTGACGTTCACCTTCCCCACTTTCCACCATCTTTGAGTCGAGGAAAAGGCTTCTAGTGCCTGTGCCAGGCTAGCCAGAATTCCTGAAAGGCAGTCATGAAGTCCACATCCTCCAGTAGGCTGTTGTTGAAATGCCAGTAGGCCAATGTGGAATGCTCAGGCTGCAGCATGACCCAAGTGTTTATTACACAGTGCTCACTGAAGGGAGCCAGCCTAGTCCAAGAGGTATGAACTTGGGCAGTGTTTAGCATGGTCATGTAGTTTTTGTCTAACTGGGGGCAGTGGTGTGCCCATTACTT